GGGAAACGTGCGTTTCTTCTCCTCTTCTCTCTCTCTCTCTCTACTGGAGTTAGCTCAAAGAGAGAGAGAGCTGGCTGCTTTTGCCTTCACTGTGAAGTGCGTTATAATGCGGAACGCCGGCGTTCGGCGTTTGGTTTTCGCATTAACACGCGTTTGACGAGCGCATCGGAGACAACGGCAGCTAGCTTTAGGCCTACCCAGTAATCGTTCCAACCAGAGGTCGGCGTTCGGACGTCCCCTATCGCCTTCTCCTCTCCCTCACTTTCTCGGCGCACAAGAAGCTAGAAAAAAAAATTGATGTTTTTCTAAAGAACCTTTGAAAATAAACACAGACACAAACATCTCTCTTTTCCCGTACTTGTCTTCAAATCAAATAGTTTATTTTACGTCTGCATATAGACCTTTCCACCCTCCGTCACACGGGCGCTGCAATCTTAGAATCATGTGACGCGGCCGCCATAAGGGGGCTGCAGCTCGTCGCTCCTCGCTCTGCCCACCGGGCCTTGGCGAAGTGTTGTATTCGTGTTTTTCGTCGCGTTTCACCGCGATATTTTGTCTTGCTTGCTGAAGTCCGTCTGCCACTTACTTTTACTACGTAACTGCACGTCATTATTATGTGAACAACTTCTGCACTTGAAGTTTTAACAGGTTTTGACTATTTTCACCCCCGGCGTACCGAATACGTGTGAGGAAAGGAATCAGCGTTGGCACTGGCGCACATTGAGTATACATGTAGATGACTCTGAGGGGCCATTATTTATGAAAGCACAAATTTGCTTAAGTGATAGTGACTGAAGGAGAGGAACAAGATATATTTATGATAACGCATTTATGATCTTAAAGAAGAAGTCGAATTCAACACAAGGAGCTAATGAGTGTTTCTTTAAAGCATCGTGCTCTGCCTTCATAACAAATTCAAAACAGTGGCATTTGACTATACATGGTGAAACCACCTTCTCCGGTAGGAAAATTCGCTTGCCTCGTTCATTTCTGAACTTAAAGAAACTGTACATTTTGCTAGGTTTTATATCTGCAGTCATGAAATTGTTTTAAGATATCCAATTCAATTCCAATTCCTACAGAAAGAGTTGGACTTCCCGAGGAAAAAACGTGTCAAAGACGTATGAGGGCCTAAAAGACGTGCCTAAGGCACGCAATATATGACGTCAAAAAGAAGCCGTCAGCATAAAAATTACTCGAGCGCAACGTTGTCGATGCCGCATTTATACTCTGGACGCCGCTGAAAGTAAAAAGAGCATCTACAAAGAGATGTGGAGAGCAAGTTCATTTTTTGGCTGGGGTTGTGGTGACCTCAGAACGCCGCTCTCTGATTGGCTCTGATTGAAAGATAGTGGGTAGACCTCAATACTAGCTGCCCTGAGGTATATTCACTATCATTTAATCCAAGCCAATCAGAGCTCAGTGTTCTGACGTCACCACAACCCCTGCAAAGGAAGCAGACGAACTTGGGTTCTGCATAAAAATCTGTCTGCACAAATCCATGAATTGGTGCCTGGCATTCGCCTTCAGCCAAACTTGCTGGAGCTAAATCGTCTCGAGCCATTTTATGTTATTTTGGAAATTACACGGAAGACGGACGACAGATTTCACTTGACGGGTTTGTCCCTTATTTCATATTCTGAATACGTTGTAAGATGATGTCCGTATAACAGATTGTCTCCTTAGGTCAACCTCGTGAAATCCTTTAGCAGGGCCGATAGCTGAACAAATTTCCTACTCGGCCTAGGATGGATCATCGGTACATATCTCGAGTACGTAATTTCTTTTTTAAAGAAACCGACAAAAACCATGTCGCTTCTTTTTTTTTTTTTTTTTTTTTTTTGCATTATATGCGTCGTTATAGGGGGGGGGGGGGGAGGTTTCCCAGTCAGAAGTTTTCACAAAATTTTTGCGTCCTCGAAATTCAAACAGTGATCACTAAACTTCCGAGTTAATCCGATCTCTGCGGTTCAGCGCATTGTTAGTCAAATTGTTGACCTGCTTTTTCACTGTGCTTCATTAGTTTTGTTTTTATGTAAACTCGTGTCAGCGGGTACGTCCAGTACGGCAGTAGACATCGGTGTTCGTAAAAACGTTCACAATTTAAACTCACAATCACGCGATGGTGCAAAGGTGGCCCATTACCACTGTATCATTGGTAGTGTACCAGAAGGAATATACTCATATCAATAAACTAAGCGAAAACGACGTAACACAGCCGCGAGCCCGCTGAAGCCGAAACCAACCAAATTGACGCCAACCTATGGCGTCGCGAGTGTCAGCGACCTCTGTCTGCCGGTCAGGTAACTAATGAGATGAAAAAGTCTATACAAATTGAGTAACCACGGACAAAAAAGAACAACAACAAAAAAAAAAAAAAAGAAAAAAGAAAAAAGCTATGTTGGTTAGACGAGCCCCGGGCCCCGAGTGGTTGGCAGATGATATCGGAGATGTAGAAAACAATATACATAACGTATGTTTTTTTTTTTTTTTTCAGATTACCCGATTTGTGTTACAAAAACAAAAAAAATGAAAAAAATGAAAGACGTTTACAATTTCCTTTAACGCCGCATTAGAGCGCACCTCTTGAGGAGGAGGAGGGGGAGGTACGGAGAGGAGGCTATGCCCCTCCTCCTTTCCTCCCATTTAGAAGAAAACTCCCCGCCAAACTTACCGGAAAAAACTTCCCCGCTAAATTTAGCGGGTAAAATTTCCCGCTAAATTTAGCGGGGAAATTTTTCCCTTAAATTTAGCGGGGAATTTTTTCCGCTAAATTTAGCGGGGAAATTTTTTCCGCTAAATTTGGTGGGGAAAATTTTTAGCTAAATTTAGCGGGGTAGTTTTCAGCTAAATTCAGCGGGGAAATATTTTTCGCTAAATTTGACGGGGAAAATTTTCCGGTACATTTAGTGGGGAAATTTTTTCGCTAAATTTACCCATAATGCACCGCGCGGTTACGCCGACGCCAACGCCGACGCCGACGCCGCTTAAGCCAGAAACGGGCAAAGAGTGAAAGCTAGATTAATGCGGTTCGTGCAGGTGAGTTGCACGGCCAGGAGGACATGCATGTAATAGGGTGCTGTTCGTCGCAAAAAGTCAAAATATCAATTAAAATGTCTTAATTATCTTCTTAATTACTGAAAATTCACGTATTATTCCAATTAGAAACTTGCTGAGCATCATCCAAAACCTCTAAATCAGTAATTTTCAGAAAGACTTTGAGCGCATGGGTGGGCTTAAGCAACACCGACTAAAGGTATACCATTGGAAATCGTGCGACAGAAGCAAGGCTGCACGTGGGTGATAACAGACAGAAAAACCGCGCGGGCGCCTTATCGCACCGATAGCTTGGTACTTGCCGCACGACTGGTAACTTTAGCGCTCCACCGTGCTGCCTACGTGCTACCGATCTTTATAATATTGACCGATTTCGTGGTTTTCGGTGACGCTCGGCTAGTTTCTAATTATAACCATGTGCTTATTTTCATCATTTAAACGATAATTAACACATTTTTGTTAATTAGCCGACCGATCGATACGATTAGCTCCTTATACTATGTCCGCCTGGCCGTATAACTCATCTGCACAAACCGCATTATTCTTGTTTTAAGCAAACTTGTGAAGCCTAAAACTAAAAGTAAACACCATCCCTCAGCTTCTCGGCGCATATACCTGACAGGTGAGCAAAGGCAGGCATGGCGATTCTCGAACATTATTTGATCGCTTATACACCTTTTCCACAAGGGCACAGCCATCTTGAATGTTGTCACTTCTGGTATGCAGAAAACCATAGTTTTCTTATCATCTCCAAGCCGCTGGAAGGTGTTTACGAAAATGTGTAATTGTCGCACATTCATGTTTTGACTCCCCTATATTTTCTCGCATATTCTAGGTTAAAATATCTTAATATTTTTTCGTCCCGCGTACCAGATACGGAGCCCACGTGACTCAGAACAACATGAAACAGAAAACGTCAATACCCAGTGAAAGGTTAAGTAAAATGTTGCGTCTCCACCCACCAGCGTAATGCGCCCACTTGAAGTGCCTCCGGCGTCGAGAACATAGCCCCCTTGCAACGGCGCTTTTTCTCTCCCCAGAAAAAGTGTTTTAGGCTACTAGATTATCCATTTGATTCATTCAGTACCACCTAAAGGAGTTTAAATTATTTATTTTAAACAGAGGCGTGCGTTATTAATGCAAAGAAGTTGCCTTATTAATGCAAAGAAGCAAAGAAGTCCAGCGCGTCCAGCTGATAAAAAAACAACAAAAAACAGCTTTTCTCGTAAAAAGAAAGGAACGGCTATTCTATTTTTGTTTTGTAATTAATGAAACGTGTGTGTTTCTTCTTCATGTGATAGGCTTTGCACGCAAATTATGCCTGCTTATTTGGTCTGATTAAAAGAAAAACCCTTTGCTTTTCGGGTTTTGACGAATCGGTGACTCACAAAGTGGTCAATGTCCGTCTCCGTAGTTTAATCCCAACGAAGAAGCGGCGGAATGCGATTCTTCTTGGTAGAGAGAGCTTTAGTCGGCCACATCGGCTACACCAAGGCGTTGGTATAAGAAGAATAAGAGCGGCCGATGACAGCTGATCCTGAACGCTTATGTTTGTATGCGACACACGGAGCCCGACCTCACTGTGAGCGAGGTCTGCAAGATTGTCGGCAGACTGCTTGCTGTCAACGTATCGAGCGCCCTCGAGATCAGGAAGGAAGCGAAGGCAAATGACGGGAATGTTGCGACACCTGCCCGAATGCGACCAGCAAGTGCAGGCAAGAAGCGGTGTTCCAGTCAAGTACGGCGACCTCGTGCTATGTGTGTTAAAATCGTGCGTACATCTTTTTTTTTTTTTTTTTTGTTGGAGCGAGCTGCTTATGGTCAAAAAGATAACGGCCGAGTTGAGCGCAAGCTCTGAACTCCCGTCGCTGAAGAAGTGGACTGTGCGTCATCTTCTCCGTGATAACGTCTTCAGGTAAGAAAAGAAGGGTCGAAACTCTCGCATGATCGAACGAGGCGACATCGTCTCGTGGCAGCAGACGTACTTGCGGGGCATTGGTTGTCACAGGCAAGAGTGTCGCAAGGTTTTCTACCTGGACGAGACGTGGGTGACGGCAGGGCACAGTGTCTTGATCGCGTGGGTGGGCAGCACTGTGACCTCGTCCCACAACGCATTCATGCGAGGTATCACGACGGGCCTGAAGCAGCCGTCGGGGAAGGGCCAACGCCTCATTATCACGCATATCGGCAGCGAGGACGGCTTCGTGGCTGGGTGCCTCAACGTCTTCCGAGGCCAGAAAACCGGCGACTACCACGAGGAAATGGATGGTACGCGGTTCGAAAAGGGGTTCGACGGTGCTCTTCAAAAACTGCCGGCGGGGAGTGTCGTCATAATGGACAATGTTTCGTACCATTCTCGGCGGCCTGATGCAGTTCCGACGACGAATTCCCGCAAGAAGGTAATCCAGGAGTGACTTCCGTCGAAGGAAATTGCGTGGGACCCCAAGATGCTGAAGAAGCTGCTCCTCGCCATTGTCGCATCGGTCAAGCCGCAGCATGTGAAGTACCTTGTGAACAATGCTGAAGAAAGAGTTGGTTTCATAATGGTCAGACTTCCACCCTATCACTGTGAATTCGATCCACTCATTTGGGCACAAATGAAGAACGGTGTTGCAGCCCGGAACACAACATTCAAGATCGGTGACGTAGAGAGGCTCCTCATGAAGATGCTGAAAAGGTCACGGCTACGAACTGGCACAACGCTGTGGGGCACGTTGTTGAAATGGAGAAAAACTTCAAACGAGGCGGTTCCACAATTACCCCCATCAAAACCATCGTCATTGCACTAAATGAATGCGGTACTCCCTCTAGGAGTGATTTGTCTGGTGTGGAGCCCCTCGACGATCCATGATGCCAATGACAAGGAGGGTTAACCCCAAAACACAAAACGGTCCATTTAAGGACCACTCATGTGCTGCAAAATCGGATACTTGCCCCTGTAAATCCGTCACGTCCTGTGTCTAATTTTGTTTGCGTGGTTCTGTGTTTCGTTATTGCAAAGCATTGTTCAAGGATTTTAGAGTTATTTAAGGTATGTTCTTTTTATTTCACTGCTGCACGAATCACCCGTCTAGAGTGATTCGTCACTCGCCCAAAAAAAGTTTCCATTCGCCCTGCACTGGTTAAATTGCTCATCTGTACAGCAGAGACACCAGATGCCATTTTAGCTTCACTATTTTTTTATTGGTTTTATTGTGCGTAGGTCAAAGGTAAATACATTAGAAATATTACAGAAGGAGGTCCCAGAGTCAGAGACTGGAAAGGGACCTCCTGTTAATGGTAACAATAATAATAAAACAAATTTACAGCAGTCAGAATAGAAAATAAATTATGACATGAATAAGTGAAACACAGAACTAATTGCAGTGATTTAAATGAACAAAATAACAGTACGTTAAACACTCATAATAATTATAAACTTATAAATAAAATAACACTGAATAAACAGAGCAAGGTTATAACAGTTGGAATTGCAAATCAATTTTGAGAATAAGTGAAATGCAGTACTAATTACAATAATATGAGAGACAAAACGGCAATTATCAAAAAGAGAGATACACAATGACGTCATGACAGCAATGTATGACTAAAGGACTGAAGAAATATGCGAAGATTCTGCTTAAACACGTGAATTGATGGTGATTGCTTGATGGCTAAAGGTAATGAATTCCACACAGCCCTGGCTGAGACGTTGGTGGTAAATTTACCATAGTTAGTCCTAGGCTTAGGCAATAACAAGTTATGATGAAATGCGAATCGAGTTATCCTATGCTGTGGAAACTGATTATCGTTAAGAAGTGTTAGAGAGAGTTTGCCGTTCACGAAATTATACACAAGTAACCCGAGGGTATGTTTATTTAAATTGCTAAAAGATAAAATATTAAAAGCACGGAAAAACCAAGAAATATCAGATGAAAGGTGACTAAAGGTGATGATACGAAATGCTTGATTTTGGATGTGCTGCAATGGAGACAAATGTGTGCGATAAGTATTTTCCCACGAAGATATGCAGTAGTTAAGAGGACTATGTATAAATGCGTAGTAGAGGGAAATGAGCGTATCGATGTGGAAAAAGGCGCGTACTTTTATTAATGCTCTTATGCCGAATGCTGCTTTTCTAGTTAAGGAGTTAATATGCCTGTGGAATTTTAAATGGGTGTCTAATTCAACCTCAAGAAATACAACGTGGCTTGCAGCCGTCAATACATTAGAGTTTAAGTGAACCGATGGAAGCCCTGGAACGATTTTGTTGGTTGATGTGAAAATGACAAAAGTAGATTTAGAAGCGTTAATGTTCAGTATATTACGCCGACACCACTTAGCATAATTGGCAGCGTCAGCGTTAATTTTGAGTAACAATGAGTCAAGGCTGTTATCGGAAGTAAAGATGGTAGTATCGTCAGCGTATAGTAAACAGTCAGAAAAATTAATGCACTGAGGAAAGTCGTTTATATATATTGGGAACAACAGAGGTCCAAGAATGGAACCCTGGGGGACGCCAATATTAGTAGTTCTAAAGTGGGAATAGGCACCACAAATATAGACGACCTGTTGTCTGTCCTGTAAATAGTTGGTAATTAATGCTAGTGTGGGACCAGTTATACCAATAGCGTCTAGTTTAGCAAAAAGTATATTATGGTTAATTGAATCAAAAGCTTTAAAAAGGTCAATAAATAAAGCACCAGCAAATTTACCGCAGTCTATGGCTCTTTTAATATCATCAGTTAAGGAAATTAGTGCCAGGTCAGTTGAAAAACCAGCCCTAAAACCAAACTGACGGGGCGACAGGACGTTAAATCTTGAGAGGTAGCATGTGAGACGTATAACAACTAGTTTTTCAATAAATTTGCTAAAGAACGAAAGAATTGCAATCGGACGATAGTTAGTTACAAGGCGCTTATCACCCCACCCTTCTTAAAAACAGGTATTAGCTTAGCTACTTTCAATACGCTAGGAAAAACGCCAGTTTTGAATACAAGATTTATAATGTAGGAAGAACGTCACAGATTAAATGAGCTATTAGTTTAATATGAAAAGAATAAAAGTTGTCAAGACCAGCACTTGTTATTTTTAGGTTATGAATGACAGTGCGGACTTCAACAGGAGATACGGGGAAAAGAAAGAAGCTATGAGGTAAGCGCTGATAATGGTGGTCGTGAGGAATAAAAGGCTGATGATAATCAGTGAAAAATGAGGCGCTAAAAGCGTTCGCAATGTCAGATGGGTTATTGTAGGTAACGTTGCCAAATTGAACAGAATTTATGGGGGCAGTCGTGGTCGTCCTGTTCAAGAACGAGTTTAGTATTTTCCATTGTTTTTTGACGTCGTTGTCTATGTCTAGACATCTATGCATTAAATAGGACTGAGTGCAAATGAAAAGCTTTTTTATTCGAGTAAGAAGACATGATGTCAGGGCCATGCCAAAGGGGGAGTAGTGCTCCTCGTAGTTGTGGATGTTGGCTCTAGTGGTGTGAAGTTTTGTTATAAAGAAGAAATCTTCGTCTAGCGCATTACAAAAGCAAAAGCAAAGACTGTTCGTCTTCGAGCTTCAAAGCCTCCTGGCAGGTGATTTCAACGTGCACCATTTAAAGGGAGTCAATCAATCAGTTCCTTATCTACGTTCCTGCAGAGCACTCTAAGAGCAGATCACCGAATAATGAAGTCGAACATATGTTTAGAAAAAAAAAATGCCTACAATGTGACAAAGGATAACATTTCACTTGCTACTGCTGACTCGAAGCATAAACAGGACTTCGGGAGCCATTCACGCGACAGGCACATACTGTGCAGCAGCACTGTGGATAACGATATCTCACTGTTAGTGCTCTGTTTCGGAGCTTAGACAGGATTGTTACTGCTATCCGCATACCTTTGACCACTCCGGCTACAATCACGGGCTTTGATAGCATACGGGAAGCGCGTAAATAACTTCAAGCGTGATTTTTGGGACCATAATCAGGATTCATACCGCCATTCACACACCTTACGGCCGCTTTGTCAGCAATGAGGTGCGACAGCACACTGTCTCAGTTGCCTTCAACTCGTTTGAATTAGTTGTGGCGCCCCGTCTGCAATCACGGTGACCCTGCCCAGCGGGGCAGACCAGACCTTGAATGTTTCTGGTTGGAGGGGGGACCGGACATTTCTTTGAACGCTGTTTTATCGAATGCCGTTCCATCGAATGGTTCACTCAAAATAGTTTGCACAACCGAAATTTCATAGTTTTTTTTTTTTTTTTTATCTCATCTCGGGACTCTCGCAGGTATGAAAGAATGTATTGTATTTTCATAGATAACGACAAACGTTTGGCAGGAACTATCAACGCTGCGCCGTCAATAGACCGATGTCACCAAGCGAACTGCGCAGGCGCGCGCATTCCGGAAGTGGTGCCGCCGCCATGCTACTTGTAGTCCTCCGTTCCCGGCTTCTCGGCATACGGCTGCGCGTACGTACGTCATCATAGATTATCATTTGGCACGCCCCGGTATCACCTTGATTCTCTTGCATGTTTTTACTTCATAAGATTGTGTTGTTTGTGATGCCTTACTTTCCTCAACAAGTACAGAAAAGCAGTTTCAGTTGTCTTATCGCTTTAGAATCGCTTTGTCGTCTGCTTCGTCGTCGTCTGTTTCTTCGTCCGCGTGGACGCGTGAGCCCACTGCCGTTCACGGGGTAATCCTAGAGCCACTCTATATGGCAGCATAGCTGCCAGAGTAGCGACACGACGCAAAATTATCTAGATGCACGACGTCAGAAGCGCTGATAGTGATCTCCATTTTGGGCCTGGGAGGTTGCCATGGTAACCGTGCTTCTAGCGACGCCAAGCGGCAACCTTTGTAGCCTAGTTGATATCTCCATTCGTTCATTGAAAAGTGGTTTAAGATGCTTGGCATCGCGGTACGGCAAGAACCTCTGGAGGAACGGTGCCTGTTTTCTCTGCAAAGTGAGACGATTTGTAGCCCAGGGACTGTCGGGCGACGAGAGCTGTTATGGTATTGTACGTGCACGGACAATGCGAGTGGTTTTCGGCGCCGCCGGGATGGCGGCCGCTTCGTGGGACGAACATACCGTCCTAGTACTTTCGGACTTCGCTCCGATGGAACGAAATCCGATTGCGCCGGCCGTGACGGAACGATTGGCTCGGAACATGACTGCTGCTCGACTGGAGCGAGTATATATGTTTAGCATCATACTTCTTCAAGACCCGATCATCCCTTCAAGATGAGATTTTCTCACCGACTGGGGAGGAGCGACGTCGACGGGGTTCAACCAAGAAGGACGGCATGGTGGTCTCTAGGGAATTGTTGACGCCATCAAAAGAGACGGACGCCGGATATGAGGTGTTCTTGTCGACAGGCCAAATGGTCGTTCGGAAGTTTACCGGCATTCAAAAAGGCAATATTTTTATCTGGTG